ACATACTGAAAACTGTTAGTAAAACCATGTTTTAATGCTTTACAATTTACATACCTAGATGCACGTGTGTTGTGTTTATGCAGTGCAACTCCCACCCAGTGGGTGGCTATGTAGAGTGATAGAACAGAGCAGGCACGCCCCCGAGAGAAGGAAAGCAAGTCACGTCACAAATTAGCATTTCTAAAATGTTAGCGTGGATTAATAAAAGTGCAAAAAGACAGCGGTTGTCGCCGGAAGAAACTTCAAATACAGAGAATGCTGTGCCTGTGTTGGAAATTGTGTCTGATGGGGAGCTTTCTTTAGTTGATCCTCCTGCTCCAAGTTCTAGTGCATTAGCATTAGCACTAGCTCCGCCGCCTCCTCCAGAGCCTCTAACGTTAGCTGCTGCTGGCGCAACTGCCACCACCAACACCGGGCAAAGCGATGCACCTGACTGCTGGACAACGGACCAGGTGCAATATTTTTGCAAGACCAATGCATGGCTCCTTCTTAAAGATAAGAAGCTAGGATGTCGGATATGCAGAGATGTCAAATCTTTGGGAATACACACTGGACAAGGACTGAAACTGTCAACTGAATGGGGTGAGTGTGCAGTGTCTCATTTCGGTGTTGACAAGGGCAAACAACAAGCTAGCCTGAGAAAAAAAATCAAAGAACATAAAGAATCACAAGCCCATGTAAAAGCTGCTGACATCCTTACATCTGCTTCACGTGAAACTATTCAACATCAAGTGCAGTCTATGCATAAATCTGAATTAGACACCACTATCAGAGTTTTTCGAACGGCATATACAATTGGCAAACATAGCCGGCCATTCACAGACATGCCAATTGATTTGAATGTACAGAAACTGAATGGGCTGAACGTGGGCAGGGTTTTGCACTCCAATAAAACCTGTGGCGAAATCATCGACCACATAGCTCATGAGCTGAAGAAAAAAATGGCAAAAGACATTACAGAAAACCAAAGAAAACTCTGTGTTTTGGTCGATGAATCTACCACTATTAGTGGTAAAACGGTGCTTGTTGTGTGTCTACGCTCAGCATTAGCTGATGCTGAGCCCGAAACGTTTTTTTGGGAGCTGATCGAGTTGGATGGAACAACGGCTGATGACATCACAAAGGCGTTAATGGAGTGTCTTGGAAGAGATTTTAACGAGGACTTTTTAGGTCAGTATTTCGTTTATTTTGCATGTGATGGGGCTTCAGTCATGCTAGGGAAGAGAACAGGCGTTGCTACCCAGTTGTGTAGTAAATTCCCAAGCCTGTTTGTGTGGCACTGCTCCAATCATCGTCTAGAGCTGGCAGTTGGGGATGTGGTCAAGGAGGTCTCAGGGCTCAATCATTTCCAGATCTTTTTTGACAAACTCTATTCCTTGTTCCATGCCTCCCCAAAAAATCAGAGGCAGTTAGCGCAGTGTGCGCAAGCAGTCGGACAGCGTCTCCTGGTGATAGGGCGTGTTTTGTCCATCCGCTGGGTGGCTTCAAGTGAAAGGAGCGTCAGAGCAGTCTGGGAAAACTACCGAGTGCTTCATGATCACTTCACAAATGCTGCAAACGACACGAGCAGGGATTCCAGAGACAGAGCAAAGTACAAGGGCCTGGATGATGTGCTCACATCTGCAACGTTTGTCAGCAATCTGGGACTGATGTACGATGCGCTCACAGAGCTCAGCGACCTCTCTCGGCAACTCCAAAAAAGATAGATGACACTGCCTACAGCAGATAGGCTCTTAACTCGAGAAATACGAGTTTTTGAATCTATGGTCACCATGCCTGGCCCACACATGATTACAGTTCATACAGCTCTAGCTGAGAAGTCCTTCAAGGGTGTTGCCCTGCGTGAGAATGGCAGGCTTGTACAGATTCATGCAGGTCAGTTTTTCCGCAGTATGGTAGAGAATCTGAGACACAGAATGACTTCCACAACCTCCTCTCATGTCAGCACAAGAGAAATCCCATTACATGGCCGGGAGGCCCGGGACAATCAGCTAATCCAGGACATGAAAGTTATCCATCCTGGAAGTTGGCCTGAAGAGGAGTTAGACGTACAGTATGGGGACGTAGAGGTGCTACGTTTGTGCGAAGTGCTGAAAGTGGACAGAAGAGAGACTGTTCAGGGCTTTCGCGAATACAAGGAAACCAGGGCATCCCGTACACCTGCTGCCATGGAGCCTCTACTGAAAGCAGTCCGAACCATCGCTGTCTCCACTAGTGAGTGTGAGCGGGCATTCAGCTGCATGAACGATATCCTTACTGCAAAAAGGAATGCTCTCTCTGTCAGCCGACTGTCCAGCCTGGTTTTCATTAAATGTAATGGACCATCACTAGGACAGTTCAATCCGGAACAGTATGTGAGGTCCTGGCTGGCAAAGGGAAGGAGAAGTGCTGATGAAAGAGCCTGTCCAGCTCCAGCCCCTGATACTGATGTCCCCAAGGCCTTCTGGAGCCTTTTCTAACAATGTGAAGTATATTGCAAAGCAGCTCACCCAGTGAGAAGACTTTTGGCATAATGTGCCGATTTGTACAGATCCTGGAGATAGAAGGACTTCAGACCAACCAGGGAGTTATCTGATCAGCTTGGTGTTCAATGTAACTCTTTACCATGGCTCAGACTTTGTTACTTGCAGTTACAGTTTCTCATTTTAGATTGTGCAAATTTTGCATTTGTTTTTACATGTTCTTTGTTCATGCTCTTTATCATTTTTCTGAGTTGGAAAGTTAGATTGCATCATAGTTTACTTTATACATATTTGTATTCTTCAGTGGTGAAGTATATTGCAAAGCAGCTCAGCCATGTGAGAAGACTTTTGGCACTTTTTCGGTTTTCGTTTTCTGAGTTGGAAAGTTAGATTGCATTCAAAATGTACAGAAATACTTAATTTTGTTAAAGCTTTTTATAAAAAATGCTTCTGACCAGAGCTTTGTTTCCTTGTCATTAATGTTGAACACCACCAGAGGGGCTCTCACCTGAAAGGTCTCTGCTTCATGTGTCTTCAGCAGAAGATGTAGACTTTGATTGCTATATTTTCAGTTAATATTGACCTTACTGAGCTTTAGCCATATCCGCTGCCTATCATAAAAAATGTTAAGTACAGTGAACCTTTCTAAAATATACAGTAGTAAAGAGACAAACCCACCAGCATTATAGTAGCCAAATTCTTGTTTGTGGGCTGTATATATAAAATTGACTTGAAAAAGTTGCTGATTTTAGAGTACTGGCACCTTTTTCATTCCAATTCAAGCACTGGCTCAGACCCTCACTCATATAGAGGTCGGAACATGTCATAAGTATAAATGGATACAAGCATAAATAAATGTAGGAATAAAAACATGAATAAATATAGTGCAGTGTTTTCGGTGAGATTCAGCTTGTGTGCTGTGGCTCAGCTGGAAAGCAGTTGACTCACGACCGCAGGGTCCCTGGTTCAACGACTGAACAATACGTCTTTTTTGTTGTTTATAAAAGCTACAGCTAAATGAGATAATATAGTTAATAAATGTATTCTTTGATATGGTTTAGCCTTTCTCCGGCTACAACATGGTTACGTTTACGAATATTATTAAGGAATACAAATCCCTCTTTGCAATGTGTACCAGCCTCCTTAGGCTTTTCAATCACAATCATTCAACTGGAATAAAAACAATATTGTTAACATGAAAATATTTAATGTTCGTTGTTTAGAGTTATTCTAAGGCTTTACTCATTGGGAACTCGGTATGAGATGGAGCACACTGTTGAGATGTCCAATCTGCCTGTTTTATACACTTTGACCAACTGTTTGAACTGTGTTCAAATGAAGCCCATGATGAAGCCTCATGAGATGAAGCCCATGATGAAGCCTCATGAGATGAAGCCCATGATGAAGCCTCATGAGATGAACCCTTTTGCGAACCAATTGGCTGGAAAGCTTCAAAGCATCATAAGGCTTCATCTCGCCATCACTACTGAAACCCCTGTTAGTGTTTGTATGTGTTTGTTTCTACTGTGTCTCTCTCTCTACCTGCTGGTCTGCTCCACACGGCTGGGAGCAATCTCCAATCAACCCCACCTGCAGCCTGCTCATCGGCCACACTATGAAAGCCTGCAGCCTGCACTCATTCCCTGCCGGATTGTTGCCGTGAGCGGTTTGTTGCCATGAACGGTTTGTTGCGGCCGCTCTAACTTTTTACCAGCATATTCTTTGACAGCTTTGCCTGCTTTTGCCTCACACTCATTTGTGTGTCTCTCCCAGGAGGAATCCAAGGCCTCCACACTCCCAAGACCAGCCAGGCCTCTCCACGCTGGAACAACTGTTTCCCACTGCCGCCATCACCAACCTCCACTCCCAGCTCCCCTTTTATAATAAACAAATGTTACTTTCACAGCTGATTCCGAGTCATCCTTTCACATGTGTTAATAGTCAAATTCGAATAGTTAAGTAAACTATCAAAATCATCCTAATGGCCACAGTGGTCAGTCCACTTACCCAGGCATTTTGAGTTGAACAATTACAGGAATATTATGTCTTTATGTTCTAATAATGTAAACATATTTTAGTAAATTGTTACCACAGAACATTTGCATAATGTTTTAAATATAAAGCATGTTATCCTTCTCTCAAATAATAACATTCTGGCAACATAAACAAATCTAACTTGCAGCTGAAAACATTTTAAGAACAGTAGGGCAAAATGTTCAATGTTATCAAAAACCTTTTACGAATGTTTTAGAGACCGTTATCCTACCTTTCAGAAGAACGTTCTGGAACCAAAAGAAAACTTCTCATTGAAAACATTCCTAGAACAATGAATGTAACATTCTCAGAATGTTTTTAGAACCAAACATTTCTAGCTGGGCTGCTACAGTCAATGAGCTAAACCACAGAAGAAGAAAGTAGACTTTAGCATTAAGATGCTCAGTGAGGATCAGGATCATATCAGCCTGATGTCTGCAGCTCAGAGTCAATACAACTCTCACATATTCATCTCAGCACAGAAGTTAGAGATGGAGAACTGACCTGAGAGTCTCCAGTCTGCAGTCTGGACTCTCCAGAAGATCTCTCAGCAGCTCTCCTGAATCCTGCAGAGCGTTCTGACTCAGGTCCAGCTCTCTCAGATGGATGTTGGACTTCAGAGCTGAGATCAGAGCAGAACAGCTGATCTCTGACAAGCTGCATCTAATCAGTCTGAATAAAGAACACATGAAGTAAGTTTAGAAAACAATGTTCCTGATTGAAATAATGAAAGGTTTAATAATCTGATTATAGCTGGAGAAGTAGAGAATGTAGACGTTTATAAAGTGGACACTCCCCACAGGTTAAAAACAGTAAGATCCAAAAAGTGAAAAGAGCTCTCATTAATATGAAAGACAACGTTCTTCACCTTCAATAAAAAGTGGAGACTTCACATCATAAACTCTGCTCCTTCTCCACTAACTCGTGATGTGCAGCCAGACTAATCAAACCCACAGAAACTGATTCTGTTACATCAGTCTTGGACCTAGTCATAGTAACTAGGTTTGTTATTAAGTTAGAGTTTCCAGAGAATCGTCTCTTTGCTAATTATTACGTTAAGTGAGCTGACGCCAAGCTCAGAGGAAATGCAAAGAGGCTACATTTAGATATAATACAGTTAAGTGTTAGTTAATGTAAGAAATATATGTGCGTTCATGTGCAGACGTATACAGTTTGTTAATTGGATCATTCATATCCTGCAAGACTCCTAAAGAAGTCATGAGATAATGACCTTTCCACATCTGGAACATGTCCAAGTTTAGGAGACCTGACAATGTGTGTGCGTTAAACATGTTTAGGAACATGTCCGTGTGTCCTTTAGAAACCTATATCTGCCCTGTGTGTCTGGTACTCGTGGGAGCATTGCTGTTTGAGTGCTGAGAGCAGCTCATGTTTCCCCATTGTTGTTTGGTGGAGCGCAACGAAATAATAATGAGTCATCTCCACTATTTCTGTGTTTGTGTTTCATTGATTCCTCTCCGTTTCATTCTTTCCTGTTGTGAGTGCTACATCTCCACAACATTTCAACTCAAGATCACAGAGTCTACAAAGAAGTCCGGATGAATTTAGAAGAAATGTGATCACAATAAATAGAGAATATTGATCTCAGGAACAGTGGAGACATAGATCACAGCATCTTCAGTGTAAACTATTCAGTCAGTCTTAGCATCATGCAGCTTCAGAAACATGTTAGAAACAGCAACAACTGAACATATTTGTTAGTGTTTGATCGTTTTAATAGAAATATTTAATTATTGTATTCATGTGTTTATAATGTCATTTATTTAAAAGCATGATGGAGAATAAAAGATGAATTTCAGGTGTTTAAAGGTTCAGAGTGAATTATGCAGAGTATGATTTTTCTTTAACAAAGCTCTCCCAGCTAGCGGGGAACGTTCTCACAACGTTGGCTAACGTTACCTACAGCAGGGGCACTCAAATACAAATCTTACCGGAGTCCGGACTTTGAGGATGCCTGACCTACAGGTTCTAATAAGGTTTTAAAGAAACGTTTTAATCTGATGTTCAAAGAACCTTTTTAAGATGTTTATTTTTTCAAATAATGTTCCTATAAGGTTTAAGGTTAACTAAGACGTAACGTTTTAACTGCAACATTCAGAGGATGTTTTCAGGATGTTATTGAGGCCTGAGATGACAAAGTGTTTTTATAAAACGTTCCTTTAATGTGATATGTTAACGAAGGTGGAACGTTTCGCCTGCAACATTCTAAGGATGTGTTTTGGACGTTGTTGGGTATCACATTAAAGATGTTCTTTATAAAGCATTCCCTCAATGTTACCTGATAACCAAAGAAGAACATTTTGAAAGCAACATTTGGATAATGTTTTCAGGAGTTTATTCTTTTTTTATAAAACATTCCTGTGATGCGAAATATTAACACGGTCAACGTTAGAGTTATTTGTAGTGCGCTTTAAAAAACAAACTGATGTCACCACATTTTCCTTTAAAAAAAAATAAAGCACGTAATTCATGGTATTGCACATTTGCGTAGGCATGTCTGAGTTCCCAGCTAGACATTGTTGGTTCTAAAAACATTCTGAGAATAATACCATTCATTGTTCTAGGAATGGTTTCATCGAGAAGTTTTATTTTGGTTCCTAGAATGTAGAAAGGTAGGATAACGTTCTCTTAAAACATTCTTAAAATGTTTGGTGATAACATTGCTCGAACATTATACCATAAGTGTTTTTGTTGTTTATGCACATATCTCTATTCATATGGATCGAATAACACTTAGAAAACCAAAGACAGACATATAGAGGAACGGACCGACTGTCACTGCCCGTCCCTGAAACGATAGTTACGGCTGTAACTACGGTTCTATGAGTCCCGGATGACCGCCAGAGGCGGTGCTTTAGCACTGGATGTGTCCATCGCGCGCATGCGCAGCTCGAGTACCAATACCAACAAAGTCACCTGTGACCCACGTGACACCGGCTATATCAGCCGGTGTCGTCAGTGGATCTGTTCCCAGAATCTTCTCGCGAGCACACAAGAATTCTGAGTGACAGGATACTCTGGCGGTCATCCGGGACTCATAGAACCGTAGTTACAGCCGTAACTATCGTTCTATTTCGTCCCTACTGACCGCCAGAGGCGGTGCTTTAGCACTGGATGACCTATACCAACCATGTCATGAAGAATCCAAGCACTTACTCACCTAGCTGGAAGCAGCGGAGCTTGGCAACAGGACCACACCCAGAGGGTGAGGAGTGGCGACATTGACTCGGTAGAACCTGGAGAATGTGCCAGAAGACGCCCATGATGCCGCGGCACAGATGGTCTCCAGGGGCACCCCTCTTAGGGCAGCCCACGATGTTGAGATGCTTCTTGTAGAGTGGCATCTCACCCCTGATGGCAGGGGGCGGCCACTGGCCCCATAGGCATGTGTGATGGTATCAACCACCCAGTGGGACAGCCGTTGCTTAGAGAGAGCACGACCCTTCTTAGTGCCACCATGGCAAACGAAGAGCTGCTCTGACTGCCGTATACCGGCTGTAGCATCAATATACGCCCTCAGGGCACGCACAGGGCACAGCAACTCAGGTGTGCCGCTCTCCTGTGGAATGTTAAAGCGTGCCAGCTGGATAGGCCGATTGGAGTGGGCTAGTGGAAGCACCTTGGGCAGGAACGCCACATTCGGCCAGAGGGTAACGCCCGAGTCATCGGAGTTCCACCTCAGGCATGTACTGCTTACGGAGAGGGCATGAAGCTCTCCGACTCGCTTCCCTGAGGTTACGGCAAGCAGAAATGCTGCCTTCAGGGACAGCCACTTAAGCCCGACCTGGGCCAGGGGCTCGAAGGGCGGAGATGATAGGGCATTCAGCACTAGGGGCAGGTCCCAAGCCGGGGCCCTTGGGGTGCTAGGGGGACGCTGCCGTAGAGCCCCTTTTAAAAAGAGGGACACCAACCTGTGGCGCCCCACTGTGGCGCCATCGACTCCGACATGTCGGGCAGAGATCGCAGCCATATACACCTTCAAAGTGGAGTGAGAACGTCCACTCTCCAGAAGGGACTGCAGGAACTCCAAAATGGTGGTCACGGAGCAATGCCCCGGATTCTCAGCCTTACTCACACACCAGTGGGAGAAGAGCTTCCATTTGCACTCATACTGTGCCCGAGTGGATGGAGCTCTGGCATTCAGGATAGTTTCCCTGACTGATGCCGTGACGCCGCTCAACAGTGGGTTGGGCCCTGCAGAGGCCAAACCCAGAGCTGAAGGCGGTGAGAGTCGGGACGCCAGATCTGACCCTTGAGCTGTGACAGAAGGTCCTTCCTGTCGGGGAGACGCCAAGGTGGGCTGCAGCAGAGACTGCGCAGCAGTGGGAACCAGACTCTCCCCGGCCAGCGGAGGGCGACCAGAAGGAGCCTGTGCCCCTGAGTAAGGACCCTCTGAAGCGTCTGCAGTATCAGAGGCAGCGGCGGGAAGGCATACAGGAGAGTGTCCGGCCAGTCATGCGCCAGGGCATCCTGACCCAACGGGCTGGTCACCTCCGTCCAGGAGAACCAGAGGGGGCAGTGCCTCGACTCTTCTGAGGCAAAGAGGTCCACCTCGGCCCTGCCGAAAAGGCTCCAAATTGTCTCCACCACCTCTGGGTGAAGCCTCCACTCCCCCGGTGGAGGCTTGCGCCGTGAGAGGAAATCTGCGACCTGATTCAGGTCTCCTGGCAGAAAGACTGCCTGCAGACTAGCGAAGCGGGGGAGCGCCCAAGGCAAGAGGCTCTGTGAAACACGGAGCAGCTGTGTGGACCTGGTGCCCCCCTGGTGGTTGATTTTGGCAACGGCGGACATGTTGTCCGAACGAATGAGCACATGCCTGCCCGCCAGTTGGGGTAAAAAGTGCATGAGTGCGAGCAACACAGCCCGCAGCTCCAGCACATTGATATGGTGTGCACCTTCCTGGGCAGACCACTGCAACTGCACAGTGCTGCCCTGCCACACCGCACCCCACCCCGAGAGACATGCATCCACAGTGACCGTCTCCCGGCGGGATGGGATGGCGCCCATAGGCACACCCATCAGAAGATAGGCCCTGTCCCTCCAGCGGGACAGAGAGTGGAGGCACCGCTGAGACACCCTGACTCTCTTGTGCCTGTGCCGCTTGGCGTCCAAGCGAAAGTTGTTCAGCCACATCTGCATGGGGCGCAGTGATAGCATGCCCAAGGGCACAACGACTGAGGCAGCTGTCAGTCTGCCTAAGAGCCGGAGGAACTGGATGTAAGGCACCCTCTTGCCCAGTCTGAAGATGCGAAGATGGTGGGAAATGTCGTCCACACGACGAGGTGTCAAGTAGGCCCTCATGGCGACCGAGTCTTGGACCATCCCCAGGTAAGTGACCTGTTGGGAAGGGTCCAGGCAACTCTTCCCGGTGTTCACTGTTAGGCCCAACCGGGCTACATGGGATGAGAGGCGCACCGTATCCTGGGCCACTTGGGCCCGGGACGGCGCGCAAACCAGCCAGTCGTCCAGATATGGCAGGACCTTCATGCCCTGTGCCTAAAGGGGAGCGAGCGCTGCCGCTACAACCCTGGTGAACACCCTTGGAGAGAGGGAGAGACCAAAGGGAAGCACCCGGAACTGATAATGTCGGCCCTGAAAGGCGAACCTCAAGAACTTCCGGTGATGGGATGCAATTGGCACGTGGAAGTAGGCGTCCTTCAAGTCCACGGTTGTGAACCACTCCCCCTGTGTGACAACACGAAGGGTGTCTGCTATGGTTAGCATATGGAAGGGCAGTACCCTCAAGAATCTGTTGATTCCTCTGAGGTCCAGAACTGAAAGTACGCCGAGTAGAACCCCCCCGCCCTGAAGCAGGGGGTCCACTGGCTCGATTGCGCCCTTGGCCAAGAGGACAGACAACTCTTGGGCCAGAGCTAAGGCCTTTGCCGGGTCGTTGACAACTGTCATACTGACCCGGCCGAAGGCTAGGGGCCGGCGTCGGAACTGCAATTCGTAGCCCTGGGTTAGGGTGGAAATCACCCAAGGGTCGGAAGTACAGGCAGCCCAGTAGCTGAGCTGCTGCTGGGAAAAACAGCCGACGACCGGCCTCGGGACTTCAGGGCCTAGCCCCCCAGCCCCTGGGGCCCCCTGGGGGGCGCCGGTAAGGCTCTGAAGCACGAGGCCGCCTGGAAGCCAGGCGACCTGGGGCACGAAAGCCATCGGCCGGTTGAGTGGGCTGCTGGGACCTCTGCAGACCACCCCTGTAAGACGGTGGCTGAGTGCGGCTGCTAGAGTGGCCCCTGGGCCTGCTGGGAGTGGCCACGGGTCTGCGAAGACCCGAGAGCTGCTGCCTGGTCTGCCTAGCTTGTGCAGCGCGCTCCAGCGCCTCCAGGGCAGCTGACCCAAACAGCTCCCCTGGCACGACTGGCACGCTACGGAGGACTCTCCTACATGTCTCCGTCAGTGGTGACTGAGCCAGCCAAACCTGGCGATGAGTCTGTACCAGAAAGGACATAACTCGTCCCAATTCCCTAGTCATTAGGGCAAAGGCCTGCAGTGATGCATCACTGAGGCCCAGCAAAGAAGGCTCGGCCGGAGCCTGCTGCAGCGAGGCGGAGACGGCCAGCATTAGATGGGAGAGGGAGTTCCCGATACGACCCATGCGTGCTGCTGCGTCGTAGGCCCTACAGAGCAGCCCATCTGTGACCCTGCACTGAGGCTGAGGGCACCTGACCACAGGCCTTAGAGCCTCGTCAGGAGCCAGAATCAGGGAGGCGATGGCAGGCTCAATGGGTGGCATGCCACCCAGCCCCACCCTCGCCGGGTCCTGCATGGCGGCCAAGGTCCGGGCATCGGAGCCAGCGTGGCCGAGGGCCCTGGTGTTCCTCCAGCATGCCTGGAGCTCCCTCAGGTACTCCTCTGAAGGAGGAACGGTGAGGGGGACAGGCGCTGGGCTACGCCTGAAGAAGGCACTAGCCTGAACTAAGTCGGCCTGCGGAACCGGAATCTGCAGGTGCGCCAGGACCGTACGAATAATGGCCGCCATGGAGTCGTCATCCACGCCCTGCCGAGACCCCTGAGCAGAGGAGAGGGAAGCCTCCTCGAGCGGGACCTCGTCCTCCGTCTATTCATTGAAGAGGTTAGCCGAAGCCGCTAGCGACAAGGCATCCTCATACAGAGGTGCGGCAACCGAAGGAGGGGCGGCAACCGAAGGAGGGGCAGGCGGCACACTAGCAGCACCTATACCGGGCCCTGGCTGAAGGGCCAAGAGGAGCGACTTCATTGTGTCCATGTCGGTAGCCAGCTGATCCACTTTAGAGGACAGCCTGTTTCTAGTCCTCCTATTGGGGGGTGCACCCATGGCCATCGCTCCCTCAAGTCGCCGGGGACGGCCGAACTGATCTGGAGGAGGATGTGACCAAGAGAGGTGTCCGTTTGCTGCCGCCAGCTGTTCCACCTCAGTGAGTCTAGCCATTCTGAGTGCCCGGGGCATGCAGCTACAGTTCATGCAGGCCCCTACCGTGAGAGCCTCCCTTAGATGCTCGAGGCCGAGGCAAGAGGGGCAGCGGTCATGGCCGTCCTCGGGCTCAAGAGAAGCCATACAGGCGCTACATGCATGAGCCATTCTGTAGGTAGCCAGACGCAGCGTAGCCGGGAGCGGGTGCGGGAACACAGCCTTCACCAGCTACCTGCTTCACAGAAAGAGTAGAGCCGCGCCGCTACTCGCCAAACAGAAAGAGGGATGTAAGTATACCCACGTTACCGGCAGAGGGAGCGGGAGCGAGAGCACTGCCTTCACCTAGCTGGGTTAATAAATAAGGCAGTTTACCAGGAGCGGGGGCGAGAACACTGCCTTCACTGGTTGAGCTAGAGGCGAGTGCCAGATGCAGCGTAACCGGGAGCGGGTGCGGGAACACAGCCTTCACCAGCTACCTGCTTAACGGGAACCGGGCAGTTTAGCGTCTACCAGGAGCAGGGGCGAGAACACTGCCTTCACTGGTTAATTTAAGACAAATGCCAGATGCAGCGTAACTGGGAGCGGGTGCGGGAACACAGCCTTCACCAGCTACCTGGTTAACGGGAACCGGGCAGTTTAGCGTCTACCAGGAGCGGGGGCGAGAACACTGCCTTCACTGGTTAAATGAAACACGAGTGCCAGATGCAGCGTAACCGGGAGCGGGTGCGAGAGCACAGCCTTCACCAGCTACCTGCTTAAAGGAATAAACAAGGCAGTTTAGCGTCTACCAGGAGCGGGGGCGAGAGCACTACCTTCACTGGTTAAATTAAAGACGAATGCCTACCTGCTGAACGGGAAGAGTAGAGCGGTGCTGCTACTCGCCGAACAAACAAAGGGGATGTAGCTACACCCCAAATCAAGAAGCTTTACACAAGCTAAGACCGGAAACTGGCTTCTAAAGAAAAAACAGCACGGGAAACTCCGGTGCTTAACACGGCGTCAGCCGAGTGGCTGCAGCGCAACTGCTAACTAGCTCAATGCTAATGAAGTTCGCAGAATAAGTACAAAAGCACAGCAAGGGCAACTCCTGGGAGAGGGAGCGGAAACACCACCGTCACCATAAAAGTTGAAGCCCAAAAAGCAAAACAGACAGTAACGGGACAACTAGGCTGGGAGAGGGAGCGAAAACACTGCCATCACCAACCAAGCCGACACCAACCTGTCCGAACAAAGTCTCTGCGCAGCCAGCCACAGCTCCTGGAGGACGGGTAAACCCGCGGCCCCGACTGGATGAGTCGCGAAGCTGCACGCAGCCAGCTGTTTGCAGAGAATCCTTAACAAATATTCCAACCGAACGAACGCTGTAGGCTACAAAAAATGTAGCCAAGGTACTCTCGCACAGCGAGAAGATGAAAGGAACAGATCCACTGACGACACTGGCTGATATAGCCGGTGTCACGTGGGTCACAGGTGACTTTGTTGGTATTGGTACTCGAGCTGCGCATTTGCGCGATGGACACATCCAGTGCTAAAGCACCGCCTCTGGCGGTCAGTAGGGACGAAATAGAACCCCTGTTAGTGTTTGTATGTGTTTGTTTCTACTGTGTCTCTCTCTCTACCTGCTGGTCTGCTCCACACGGCTGGGAGCAATCTCCAATCAACCCCACCTGCAGCCTGCTCATCGGCCACACTATGAAAGCCTGCAGCCTGCACTCATTCCCTGCCGGATTGTTGCCGTGAGCGGATTGTTGCCGTGAGCGGTTTGTTGCCGTGAGCGGTTTGTTGCCATGAGCGGTTTGTTGCGGCCGCTCTAGCTTTTTACCAGCATATTCTTTGACAGCTTTGCCTGCTTTTGCCTCACACTCATTTGTGTGTCTCTCCCAGGAGGAATCCAAGGCCTCCACACTCCCAAGACCAGCCAGGCCTCCTCTCCACGCTGGAACAACTGTTTCCCACTGCCTCCATCACCAACCTCCACTCCCAGCTCCCCTTTTATAATAAACAAATGTTACTTTCACAGCTGATTCCGAGTCATCCTTTCACATGTGTTAATAGTCAAATTCGAATAGTTAAGTAAACTATCAAAATCATCCTAATGGCCACAGTGGTCAGTCCACTTACCCAGGCATTTTGAGTTGAACAATTACAGGAATATTATGTCTTTATGTTCTAATAATGTAAACATATTTTAGTAAATTGTTACCACAGAACATTTGCATAATGTTTTAAATATAAAGCATGTTATCCTTCTCTCAAATAATAACATTCTGGCAACATAAACAAATCTAACTTGCAGCTCAAAACATTTTAAGAACAGTAGGGTATAATGTTCAATGTTATCAAAAACCTTTTACGAATGTTTTAGAGACCGTTATCCTACCTTTCAGAAGAACGTTCTGGAACCAAAAGAAAACTTCTCATTGAAAACATTCCTAGAACAATGAATGTAACATTCTCAAAATGTTTTTAGAACCAAACATTTCTAGCTGGGCTGCTACAGTCAATGAGCTAAACCACAGAAGAAGAAAGTAGACTTTAGCATTAAGATGCTCAGTGAGGATCAGGATCATATCAGCCTGATGTCTGCAGCTCAGAGTCAACACAACTCTCACATATTCATCTCAGCACAGAAGTTAGAGATGGAGAACTGACCTGAGAGTCTCCAGTCTGCAGTCTGGACTCTCCAGAAGATCTCTCAGCAGCTCTCCTGAATCCTGCAGAGCGTTGTGACTCAGGTCCAGCTCTCTCAGATGGATGTTGGACTTCAGAGCTGAGGCCAGAGCAGAACAGCTGATCTCTGACAAGCTGCAGCCTCTCAGACTGAATAAAGAACACATGAAGTAAGTTTAGAAAACAATGTTCCTGATTGAAATAATGAAAGGTTTAATAATCTGATTATAGCTGGAGAAGTAGAGAATGTAGACGTTTAGAAAGTGGACACTCCCCACAGGTTAAAAACAGTAAGATCCAAAAAGTGAAAAGAGCTCTCATTAATATGAAAGACAACGTTCTTCACCTTCAATAAAAAGTGGAGACTTCACATCATAAACTCTGCTCCTTCTCCACTAACTCGTGATGTGCAGTCAGACTAATCAAACCCAGAGAAACTGATTCTGTTACATCAGTCTTGGACCTAGTCATAGTAACTAGGTTTGTTATTAAGTTAGAGTTTCCAGAGAATCGTCTCTTTGCTAATTATTACGTTAAGTGAGCTGACGCCAAGCTCAGAGGAAATGCAAAGAGGCTACATTTAGATATAATACAGTTAAGTGTTAGTTAATGTAAGAAATATATGTGCGTTCATGTGCAGACGTATACAGTTTGTTAATTGGATCATTCATATCCTGCAAGACTCCTAAAGAAGTCATGAGATGATGACCTTTCCACATCTGGAACATGTCCAAGTTTAGGAGACCTGACAATGTGTGTGCGTTAAACATGTTTAGGAACATGTCCGTGTGTCCTTTAGAAACCTATATCTGCCCTGTGTGTCTGGTACTTGTGGGAGCATTGCTGTCTGAGTGCTGAGAGCAGCTCATGTTTCCCCATTGTTGTTTGGTGGAGCGCAACGAAATAATAATGAGTCATCTCCACTATTTCTGTTTTTGTGTTTCATTGATTCCTCTCTGTTTCATTCTTTCCTGTTGTGAGTGCTACATCTCCACAACATTTCAAATCAAGATCACAGAGTCTACAAAGAAGTCAGGATGAATTTAGAAGAAATGTGATCACAATAAATAGAGAATATTGATCTCAGGAACAGTGGAGACATAGATCACAGCATCTTCAGTGTAAACTATTCAGTCAGTCTGAGCATCATGCAGCTTCAGAAACATGTTAGAAACAGCAACAACTGAACATATTTGTTAGTGTTTGATAGTTTTGATAGAAATATTTAATTATTGTATTCATGTGTTTATAATGTGATTTATTTTAAAACATGATGGAGAATAAAAGATGAATTTCAGGAGTTTAAAGGTTCAGAGTGAATTATGCAGAGTATGATTTTTCTTTAACAAAGCTCTGCTACAGTCAATGAGCTAAACCACAGAAGAAGAAAGTAGACTTTAGCATTGAGATGCTCAGTGAGGATCAGGATCATATCAGCCTGATGTCTGCAGCTCAGAGTCAACACAACTCTCACATATTCATCTCAGCACAGAAGTTAGAGATGGAGAACTGACCTGAGAGTCTCCAGTCTGCAGTCTGGACTCTCCAGAAGATCTCTCAGCAGCTCTCCTGAATCCTGCAGAGCGTTGAAACTCAGGTTCAGATCTCTCAGATGGATGTTGGACTTCAGAGCTGAGGCCAGAGCAGAACAGCTGATCTCTGACAACCTGCAGCCTCTCAGTCTGAATAAAGAACACATGATGTAAGTTTAGAAAACAATGTTCCTGATTGAAATAATGAAAGGTTTAATAATCTGATTATAGCTGGAGAAGTAGAGAATGTAGACGTTTATAAAGTGGACACTCCCCACAGGTTAAAAACAGTAAGATCCAAAAAGTGAAAAGAGCTCTCATTAATATGAAAGACAACGTTCTTCACCTTCAATAAAAAGTGGAGACTTCACATCATAAACTCTGCTCCTTCTCCACTAACTCGTGATGTGCAGCCAGACTAATCAAACCCACAGAAACTGATTCAACTCAAGATCACAGAGTCTACAAAGAAGCAGCACCAGAGTCTGAATAAAGAACACATCATGTAAGTTCAGAGAACAATGGTCCTGCTTGAGATAGTTCAAAGTCTCATCATCTTTTCAGACCTGGAGAGGGTTCAGAGGCCGAGGTCAACAATGATGTAGATACTTTTAGAAATGTAATAGTAGGCAGGGGCGGACTGGCCATTGGGAATACCGGGAGTTTCCCCGGTGGGCCGGAGGGCCAAAAAAAAATCAAAAAAAATCAAAAAGTTTATCAAAAAAAATCCTGCCTAAATCCTACCGGCCCACATTTGTAAGTGTTCCGGCCCAGCCCAGTGGGGTGTGGCCAGGTTTGGGTTGTAACGGAATACATGTAACGGTGTTACGTAATCAGAATACAAAAATCAAGTAACTGTATTCAGCTCGCGTTACATTTGAAAAACGAGTAATCTGATTACAGTTACTTTCGTAAACCTGAAGTGAATACATTTTGGAATACTTATTGGAATTATTGGTGGAAAGATTTCCTCACAACATTTAATGTTCATTACTAAAGGTACAGCCGAATCATCACAACGCACAAAACTGCGCAGATGGACCAAAAAGGGGAGCGTTGCGGGTCCGCTCAGTGAAACAATAACAACGTAACATGGAGGAACAAAAGTCTGCGTATAAATCGTGTGTGTGTGTGTAGAGGTGTGTGTGGTTAAAACACATCAACCACACCGCTCTTTAGCCTTTCTAATGATTCTGAAGGTAAACACAGTGAAAGGCGGTGCGTGAAAGGCGGTGCGTGAAAGGCGGTGCGTGAAAGGCGGTGCACGCTCCTCTTCTCAGAGGCTGAGTTAACCCTCCCGCTGCCTCCTGGTGCTGCAGAGATTTCATGAAGTGAAGGAGGTGTTCCTTCTATAAAACAGCTGCGGGCAGCAGATACTGTGAGGGTCACAGACATGAATACATAGATCAAGGCAGACTGGTGCACACACACTCCTGTTTTGTCAATCCGGTGCTTAAACAAAAATACACCCCTGGCCGAAATGTCCTTAAAATGAAGTCCGAGTTCGACATTTTAATTAATGTCCTGCCAACACTGGCAGGACAGAAGGCGACACGCCCTTTCTAAGCCATGTCCTCACATCCCAAGCTGCATCCCCAAAAAGTCCATTATGTTGTTACAACAGGGTTCAGGGGGAGAGGCTGTACGGCTGTACCCGTAGGATAGAAAAGGGGGAAGTGACGTCTGACTCAGAGGTCGCGCGGCAGTGGAGAAGAACGTGTTGCCCACATTCTGTTACTGAGTTTAGGCTAGTTAGCTAGCAGGTTTATTGTTTTGGGTGCAGTCACTTTGCCTCCACTTGCTGTTCAAATAAATGTTGAAGGAAAAAGTTAATCTGTTTACAGTTCTGTTTCATATGGGTGTTGAAGAGGAAGAAGAAAAGAAGAAGAAGAAGAAGAGAAGAAGAAGAAGAAGAAGAAGAAGAAGAAGAAGAAGAAGAAGAGAAGAAGAGAAGAAGAAGAAGAAAGAAGAGAAGAAGAAGAAGAAGAAAGAAGAAGAAGAAGAAGAAGAAGAAAGAAGAAGAAGAAGAAGAAGAAGAAAAGAAGAAGAAGAAGAAAGAAAGAAGAAGAAGAAGAAGAAGAAAGAAGAAGAAGAAGAAAGAAGAGAAGAAGAAGAGAAGAGAAGAAGAAGAAGAAGAAGAATTGGGAGGGATGAAACCCTCTTTAATGGTCACACATGCAGAGCACACAGCACACACAGTGAAATGTGTTCTCTGCTTTTAACCCATCCTAGTACCAGGAGTCTAGTACCAGGAGTCTAGTACCAGGAGTCTAGTACCAGGAGTCTAGTACCAGGAGTCTAGTACCAGGAGCAGTGGGCAGCTATTGTACAGCGCCCGCGGAGCAATGGGAGTGAGGGGGGAAGGGGATGTCTGGTGCCTTGCTCAAGGGCACCACGGCAGGAGGTGAACTGGGACCTCTCCAAGTAGAAGTCCACACTCCAAATAGGTCTGGTCGGGGACTTGAACCGGCGACCCTACGGCTCACAGTCCAAGCCCCTCCTGACTGCCATAGATTTAGTCCCTATTGTGCTCTCAAAATGGACCAGATTGATGCATTTAACTTCAACATTTAATAAAAAATCTTCCCGGGGGAGCTTGCCCCCGGACCCCCCTAGAGGAGGTGAGGTCCACCACCTTCCCACACCCCCTGTTATATTGTCTCACCCACATTGAGGATGCTTCCTACGCCCATGTTTTATTCCATGTGTCAAGTCAGGCAAATTGGGTCAAAATGTTATTGCATAAATGATCTGTTAACATTAAAATCACTAAATATATGCTGTAACTATTTTGCTCTAGGCAACTCAAGGGCTCAGGTAATGTGATGACTATATGAATAATTGTCCAAAATAACATTAAATGCATAGGATTTTTTGTTAAGTAACATACTTTCGTCGCCGGCCGGCCGATACATGCCGCGCATTAGGTGGGCCTGTCTGTCAATTAATCCCCGGGCCACTTTTTCCCCCCAGTCCGCCCCTGATAGTAGGTAACTATAAATGCGTTGATAATGCATCAGAAGAACCTCCTCCATCTCCCTCACAGCTCATCAGTCCTGACAGCATCTCCACTGACTCTTGGAGCACAGTGTGAGTCTGTCTCACACACTGTCCCCTCACACATCTACTTTCTCTGCTTTCGGTTATTCTTGTCAAATATTCAGCCATTTAGAAAGAAATGTGAACTTATTAAAATATCTTTGTACTCAGGCAAATGATGGAATTATAAATATATCAATTATAAATACAGTAGAAAACCACATGAACTACAGCCAGTGATCTGACCTCAGAGTCTTCAGTCTACAGTTTGGACTCTTTAGTCCAGAACTCAGCTGCTCCACCTCTGAATCCTGCAGGTCTACTTCCAGCTCCAGCTCTCTCAGATTGGAGGGGTCAGACTTCAGAGCTGAGGCCACGACTTCCCAGTCTAAGAATCCACTGTCAGGAATTCTGTTAGAACACATATTACAGAATTAGTTTATATAGAAAAAGGGGAAACAACATATTTACTTCATGCATTTGAGGAAAAACATTTTGAATATCATGATCTGATTACCACTGGATGTCTGTCTATTTCATATGTGGTAGAGTGTGATCTGATCCCATGTCTGTCACCTCTTTGCTAGCTACCTTCTAGACTAGAGAAGACCAGAGTCAACATAAATCAGATATTGCTCTGTGTCTAATTTAACGATAAAGAAACTGCAATCCTTTCATAATAACTTTACTGCATTCAATGAGATATGTAAGTTATTCTGTATGTTCTATCACATGTTGCTGTGATAAAACATCCTTCATATGTTGTTGACAAGGAAAATGAAGAGAAGAAAAAACTGTACCATTTTTAAAGTATTAGAATAATTGTATTAATTCAATTTTGCTCTCACAGTATGTGAAACAGCAAAAAGTTGTATAGTGTTTATTTTAAAAACTAAAATCCTTATCTGCACTAATCTCTAAAGTTAATCACATCTGGACTCACACAGCCTTCCTGCAGTTCCTCACAGCTGGAGTCAGTCTCCGTCGTCCCTCCTCTGATGTTTTGGACTTCTCCAGGTCCAACTCATCCAGAACCTCCTCTGACATCTCCAGCCTGTAGGCCGGAGCAGGGCAGCGTTTCACAGAGAGTCTCTTCTCTGATTTGTTCTCTGACTTCAGGAACTCTGTGATCTCCTGATGTACTGAGTGGTCCTTCATCTCTGTCAGACAGTGGAGGATGTTGATGCTCCTTTCATCAGAGTCTTCATCACTTCTCATCTTCTTCAGGTTGCTGATGGCTCTCTGGATGGTTTCTGGTCTGTTGTCTGTGCGACCCAGCAGGCCTCCTAACAGACTCTGGTTGGACTCCAGAGAGAGGCCGTGGAGGAAGCGGACAAACAGGTCCAGGTGGCCATTTCTACTTCTGAGGGATTTCTCCATGGCTCTCTTTAGGAAGACATCCAGGGATGGGTAATCCTGATCCCTGCTATCATTGTCATCGTCCCAGTCTCCCTGCAGGAAGTCCTTCAGCACCTCTGTGTCTCTGCTGGTGTAACAGTGCAACAAGTAGACTGCAGCCAGGAACTCCTGAACGCTCAGATGAACAAAGCAGTAGACTGTTTTCTGGAAGATCACACTCTCTCTTTTGAAGATCTCTGTACAAACTCCTGAGTGCACCAAGGCCTCGGTGACACCAAGACCACAGCGCTGCAGGTCTTCTTGGTAGAACATGATGTTTCTTTTCTCCAGATGTTCATACGCCAGCCTCCCCAGCTTCAGAAGAAGCTCCCTGTCAGCCTCCGTCAGCTGCTGTGGACTCGTCTCATGTCCCTCTTCATACTTCTGCTTCTTCCTCTTGGTCTGGACCAGCAGGAAGTGTGAGTACATGTCAGTGAGGGTCTGGGGCAGCTCTCCTCTCTGGTCTGTAGTCAACATGTGGTCCAGAACTGCAGCAGTGATCCAGCAGAAGACTGGGATCATACACATGATGTGGAGGCTCCTGGAGCTCTTGATGTGAGAGATGATTCTGCTGGACAGGTCTTCATCACTCGATCTCCTCCTGAAGTACTCCTCCTTCTGGGCGTCAGTGAAGCCTCGTACTTCTGTCACCCTGTCCACACACTCAGGAGGGATCTGATTGGCCGCTGCAGGTCTGGAAGTTATCCAGACGAGAGCCGAGGGAAGCAGCTTCCCCCTGATGAGGTTTGTCAGCAGCACGTTGACTGAGGACTGCTGTGAGACATCAGACACAACCTCATTGTTTCTGAAGTCCAGAGAAAGTCTGCTTTCATCCAGGCCGTCAAAGATGAGCAGCACTTTGCAGACAGCCAGCTGCTCTGCTGTGACCTTCTGTAAGGTTGGATGGAAAACATGGAGCAGCCTGAGAAGACTGTACTGCTCTCCTTTGATCAGGTTCAGCTCCCTGAAGGAGAGCGGGATCACCAGACTGACATCTTGGTTCCCCAAACCCTCGGCCCAGTCCAGAGTGAACTTCTGCACTGAGAAGGTTTTTCCAACTCCAGCGACTCCGTTGGTCAGGACCGCTCTGATGGGAGTCTGTTGGTCAGGTAAGGCTTTAAAGATGTCCTGGCACTTGATTGGAGTGTCATGGAGGGGCTTCTTCTTGGAAGCTGTCTCCAGCTGCCTCACCTCATGTTGGGTATTAACCTCTTCACTCTGGCCTTGTGTGATGTAGAGCTCAGTGAAGATGCTGTTGAGGAGGGTTTCACTTTTATCAGTTCCTTCAGTCACACGTTCATATCTCCTCCTCAGACTGAGCCTATGTTCATCTAGAACCTCCTGCAGACCACGTTCTGCTGAAAGAGAAGGAAACGTGAGATTTAAAAAAATGTTTTAAATGAACTTATATTATGTACAACACAACAGGAAGAATCCTGTTTTCAGGTCTGAAGACAGCAGGAGACAGCAGTGTTTACCACAGAATTATACTTGTGGTGGTAGCCGTGCACGACGGGTGCTAATGGAGCACGCTCATGAACTGTTAGTTTGCCGGAGCGTCGCAGCGGGGTTACTGCAGAGCGCATAATTGCGCCGCATTTGCGCATGAGTGATGTGCAACAACATTTTACTTCTCTTTTTCTCGTAAGGTCTCCCTTTCTGTTGGTTGTTATTAGCAGACCCTTCACACCATGGCAGAGCGAACAGGTACAGGAGGCGTAGAGCGAGGGATCATTGTCCACTAGTTCATCGATCGCAGGTGGCGTAGTGCTCGCGGACGGATAAAATAAAAACCTAAATGGGTCGCGAAATATACTTGGGTGGGCGTTAATATACCTGCCCAGTAACAAGTGTTAGCGTGAGGGAATGCTCCGGTTTTGGGACAAAATTAACATGGGATCACTCCGGTCATTGTACGTCTCACTGGAATATTAACGGTCAGATTGAATACAACATCGACCCAATTTCTCCGGTCAATGACGGGAGAGTTTTGAAAGTGACAAAACACTGTTTCACACATTTAAAAACAATTAAACAATGTTTACCCAGGATTCAGGCACCTTCCCTGGCTTGTAAAATGCGGTGATGCGCCCTGGAGGTATCAGACTATTTAAAACATGTATACCCAGGATTCAATCACTTTTCCTGGCTTGTAAAGTGCTGTGAAGCAGCCTGTTCTCTGGGTGCAGTCTGGGTGCAAGAGCCATGCGCTGCAAGGATCTCTCTGGGTGCGCTCTGTGAGTCTCACAGCCCGCTTCTCTCTGGCTGCTCTCTCCCTCTATTCACAGCACTTTTCCCCGCCTTTCAGAGACTTATTGCAGGGTAGAAAAGCCTTGTGCATCACCCTGGATCTCTGCCTATGTGCCTGTGAGTGTGAGACTCTGCTAACAGCAGTGACTCTGCTGTACTTATCTTCTTGTACATTTCATGAGTCAAATGTGGACGAAATGGACAGTTTCCTGTCCATATGACCGGCTGTTTATGCAGTCAAATGTGCATTTGAATTAAAACAGTTTAATGCACTTTTAACACTCATCTACCCACGACTCAAGCTGCTTTCCTGGGTTACAAAGTGCTGTGAAGCAGCCTGTCCTTTGGGTGCAGTCTGGGTGGGAGAGCCATGTGCTGCAAGGAGCTCTCTGTGTCTCTGTGTGTGAGTCTCACACCCCGCTTCTCTCTGGGTGCTCTCTCTGTATTCACAGCACTTTTCCCCAGCTTTCAAAGACTCATTGCTGGGTAGAAAAGCCTTCTGCATCACCCTGGATCTCTGCATAGGTGCCTGTGAGTGTGAGACCCTGCTAACAGCAGTGAACCTGCTGCCAGCATTACGAACATATTAATCAGGCGTTTTAACACTTTTTTCCATGAAAATTATTTTTATTCACTATCATGGGGCTATATAAATCAAATTCAGGGTAATTAGGAGCACAATTGTACCTTTTACTATTTAAATGTATTTGTATTATATATCTTTGGGCTATAAAAGTGACATTTCTGGGTGCCTTTGTCAGTTTATGGAGCTTAGCCCACAATTCCCGGAAGTTCCAGGCCGAATTTGGGAGCTCATAGGCGGCCTGCCATGCGCCCCCACCCGTGGAAAGAAGAAAAAAGTAAAGAAAACGGTCAATTATATCTTAAAATAATCAAAAATGAAGTTTAAAACAATTCTCGAAAAAACGACTGAGTGCCAACGGAGGAGGGCTCAAAAAAGCTCAACCCTTCGGCGCTTCGGGCCGAAGCCACGGGCGGACTGGAACACAAATTCAGCCCGGGACGTTCAGACGCACCGGCCCACACACCGGGCCGCCGCCCACACATGCGGGCCACCCTTGTAGCCTACAGATAAATGATACATCTACTATGCTCATATACTGTATACTGTTATGGCTAGATTCCCCAGAGTCAAGCCATAACATAAAAGAGAAGGACAACAGGAGTAAGGTGCAAAATGAAACCTTCCTTTAGTTAAGGTTTCTTAAAAATGTCCGTGTCATGTGTGAAGTGTGTCAAAGTGGCTGACTGTAGGAGTCAGTAACGTGAATGTACAATTGGGATTAAGGACAAAGTACAGCTAATGGGTATAGTCAAAAATGGTTGCCTGTGCCTGGCTGTAAACAAAAAGAAGTGCCAATGCACATGCAGCTCAGACATGCAATCAATGCCATGTGGTCTAACCAACAAATGATTCTAATAGTCATTATGAGAGCACTTGTCCAGTATTAAATAACCAACTTCAAGGAATACAATATCATGCACAGTAATGTCAATCACTAAAATGAATGCAATAGTGAATTGGCCACACATCTCTGAGTCCTTATTATTCAATATTAATATTATTTCATATAATTATTTAAAATTATAATATTAATATTATATAATTTAACTTGGAATATCATGAGCATATGACTCTATCCTAATGCATCTAACTGTATGCACAATATAATAGTCTGGCCAGCCATGCAGCCCGTTCTAGGTTCTGATTGGCTCTCGAGGTTGGCATTCTAGCTTCTGACTGGCTGTCCAGGTTGTCAATCACAGCCGTGGGCATATTATACTAGTCGTAACATCGCTAAACTTTTTTCTTGACGGTTTTCTCAGTCAACTAATGCTATTGCTAACAGTAACATAAATGAACACAGCCCTGCACCTGCTGTCATTATATGCTGGGTCTGTGGTTCATCATCTTCCTTTTCATTCTCCTCCTTATTACTGCGACTGGGAGCCCTTCTACTAAACAGCTCTGTGATTTTTGAACATTTTCCAGCATCTTCCTGTAGCAATTTTCGTTTTTTCATTCTGGCTTTTTCAGCCCCACCCTTTCTTTTTTTTACTGTTCTCCATCTTTCTCAATTTCGCTAGCTAACTTACTGATCAATCATCAAACGAAGCAAGGGAGCTTGTCTGATGAGTGGACCTCTGACCTTACTTGCCAACCTTGAGACCTCAGAAATCGGGAGCATTTCAAAACCACCGCGGGGGGGGGGGGGGGGTGTTAGTGGATCGCCGGAGCTGTATTAGATTAACATCTACACATGCTTATTGTAGTTGTAAGTGCACTGTCTTGCAGCCTGTAGCACCATCCTTGATGGGGCAGGCTGGACCTGTATCAAGTATGGCTCTGACGCGGGCCTCGCCCTCTTTCCAATTGGAAGAGACGACTCATCTCTCCCGGCCCAACCCCTTCAGTTAATCTATTAGCCTACTTTCGAAAACATAAGATTGACAAGTTTGACAACCTATCAATAGCGCCATTTACATGGAATGCTTTTCCGATCGTATCCGATCACTAAATAAAGCGATCCACGTTCACTCGTATACATGGGTCAAGCATTAAGCTGATTACAATTTCACCTGTACCGAAGTGGGCCGATCGGAGTGGGGCAGTGGGCCGCGTCGAGTGATCCGACCGGCCCACTTCGGTACCGGGCTACCGGCCAGTCTGACCCTGGCCGAAGCCCCGGACACTTTTCCACTCCCCCGTTGCAATTTACAACGGAGAGGGGAATCGAAGCCTCCCCTTCTCCGTCAAAAAAATGCATTCATCATTTTCAAGCTACCGTCTGCACGAAATCGGAAACCCGGTTTTTGAGAGGACTCAGAAAAAAAACAGCTGTCTCACTTCATGGAGGAATGTATCCGCTCCATGTGTGCTCTGGCTCGGATACAATTGTTGCATGGAGACCCCCCAGCATGGTTCTTACCAAACTTTACGTTTTTGAACTGGTCTCTGGAGGAATGTAAGGGGAGTTGTCAGGGGACTCTACCCGCCTTATGAGACACTATTTTCGGATACTTTTTTATCACTTTTAGCCCTTTTTTATGGTTCTCCAAAAAGTGAACTTAGACTTTTTCTGAGTCTGGAGGAATGTAAGGGGAGTTGTCAGGGGACTCTACCCGCCTTATGAGACACTATTTTCGGATACTTTTTTCCATTTTCACCCCTTTTCTATGGTTGTCCAAAAATGAACTTAGACTTTTTCTGAGTCTGGAGGAATGTAAGGGGAGTTGTCAGGGGACTCTACCTGCCTTATGAGGCACTATTTTCGGATACTTTTTTCCATTTTCAGCCCTTTTCAATGGATGAATTGAAACTTATGTTTTTTACATTTTGGTCAATTTGACCCAGTTCTGGTACCGCATTGCCTGGAGGATAGGACCAAGAGATGATAGACTCTCTGGCCGCCTCACAAGTCACTATTGTCAGACACTTTCTTTGCTTTACCCCGGTTCTATCACTCTTTCCTCCTTTGACCATAAACGTGTTTTACTGCCTGGTTCCGGGGCACCCCAAACCCTCTCATGGTCGGGGCACCATGAATTGATGCATCGGACCCAATGTTGCCATCACCAGCCCCGCGTTGGTGCAGAGGTGGGACCATTTAACCCGGTGGTAACCCAAGTCCTCCCTTGGTCCGTGTACCAGGCATTGAAGCATCGGACCCATTGTTGCAATCACCGGTTACGCTAACGCATATAAACGGAGAAACAGAAAATAATTTAAATACAATTCACTGTGTCTGTTTTAGTAAGGATGTCGTCCGAATGCCCGGTGTGCAGACTCCTCTATCTGGCTTTGAACAAGCACCTTATGCACAAACATGCAGTGCGGAACTTGGAGGAAAGAGGCATCATTCTTAAAATGGCCAGTGGCAGAATAAATGTTCGGACCAAACCCTGTCCCATCACAGGGTGTTCGTATGCTGGGAAGAGACTAGACCGTCATGTAACTCATGACCACCCTGAGTTCTCCCGAGATGAGGCACATCAGGTCCTGGCAAGGCTGAAGCGTAATGTGGCCCTGCAGTTGCTCCATGACCTCCGAGAGACTAATCCCATCATTGGAATGGCTACATCATTG